CATTTAGGGCCATGGTTTCCAGGGCCATGTGAGGGTGGGGACTTTGCCAGGGAACCACCCTCTTCTACACAGTATTTCCCTGCTTCCTGTTCATATCACTGTCAAGCAAATGGGTCTTCAATTTGCTACTGGAAAAAGCGTCTTGTCCCAGACCCCCAAAGTGTGTTCGTGGAGCTCATGGAGTAAAGAATTCAGAGTGAGTCACAAAGTATAGAGAAGTTAAGATAGCTTAAAAGAGATTACTCTATTACAGAGTCAGGCATCCTCAGAAAGCAAGGAGAGAAATGCACCCACCCCAAATACCGAGCTTGCTTAAATAGGATAACAGAGCTAAGAGTAATGGCCTTACATGCTTTATTACAAAAGCTTGTGATCCGCTTGTGACAGGTTGCTAGTATTGTTGTTCTCTTGTGTAACTATTGATTTCATCAAGAATTTATGGACATTTTTTAAAGTGAAACCAATTCTTAATGAATGTTTTTGTTTTTAAGATATCAGAATATTTACATAAGTACTGGGTCTTAATTTAGTTTGTTAACATCATTAACTCATTCCCTCAACCATAAATATATTGTGACCAAGGGTTCCCAACCTCCTGGGAATATAACCTAGCAGATTTGACCTTAGCCAACCTTTGTTCAACGTGAAGTCACTCTGGTTAGGATGCCTCTGACAAGTTCAGTTAATTTTCCTTTTCAATATGAACAAGTTTTAAACCTGACAATTTTAGTCAAACTACTTATGTGTGTGGACATAATCAAATAAAAGTTAAGTGCTTTTGTCTATGAAAACGTCAAGCTCAATTGGAACCCTGGCTGTCCCATTTACTTGCTGTGTGTTCTCAAGTCACTTAACATTTGGAGTCTCATTTTCTTTAACTGTCCACTGACTATGATAATACCTATAGCATAAGAATTTATAAAAATGAATGGAAAAATGTAAGTAAATGCAAAGTACTTTGCTGTTACTTGGAGTCTAATGGAGTTGGGGAGGAGAAATGGATTGGTCTGCTGTATAACCATAGGATAAAAATTTGTGGTTGTGTGGTGAAGGGAATAATCTTGATTTGGGGGAAGAAACAAAAAAATCTCTGGTGGTGCCAAGAAAGGACTCAGGGGAAAATTTATCATTCAACATGTAAGGGGTTTGCTTGAACAAAGAAAGTAGGATAATGCACAGTATTTGTGATTCACTGTGGTAGTTTGCTAAGGCTGCTGAAACAAAAGCATCACAGGCTGGGTGAGCAACAGACATTTATTTTCTCACAGTTCTGTAAGTTAGGGCCCTGGAATCAAGGTGTTGGCAGGGCCATGCTTTCTCTGATGGTCTGGGGAAGGAACTGTTCCAGACCTGTCTCCTGGCATCTCCTAGTTCCTGGGCCTGTGGCAGCACAATTCCAGTTTTCACATGGCATTCTCTGTGTGTATGTGTGTACATGTGTGTGTATGTGTGTCCAGATTACTTCTTTTTTTATAAAGACACAAGACATTTTGTCTAATGAAAGCCCCTCTTATAACAATACATCCTCATCATAACTAGTGTAATCTGTAATGACCCTATTTCCAAATAAGGTTACACTGCAGTACTGGAGGTTAGGAATTCAACATATTGATTTTAGGGAACACAATTCAATCTCTGACACTTACACATACTTTATTGAGTGTGAATTCTTTTTCTAGGAGAAATTAACAGGTGCTTTGTTTTCAAACCATGTTGATGAAGGGGAAAAATACAGATTGTACTGATGTGAAAGAATAGAACAGCAGGGAAAGCTGGTATGTAGTTTCTAGATATGAGATCCCTTCAATGTGTTGATTGTAGCTGTAAAGAGTTATTGAGAAGCTACTTTATGCTAGGTGTTGACAACTGTAGTAAGATAGGACCTGACCCTTTGAGAATCACAGGGCATAATGACAGAGATACACCAAGAGATAAGGATAATGCACTATAAGCTATAGGCCAAAATACAATGGGATCCCAGCAGAGTCATTCACATTTTTATTTTCTTTGATTCCCTATGCTGTTGTTATATGCCTTTTTATTTCTTAGAAGTTATAAAATAATAATTTGTCACCAGAGGTATTACATGCTGAGAGTATCTCCTTAAAAATCTTTTGTTACAAATCTAAAAAATTGGCATAAATACCTGCGCCCTCATGGTCACTAAGTAGTGTAACTGGGTGTGGTTTTTCAATCTAGGTCAATTTCTCCAGCACGCCATTGTCAAAAGTCCCTCCCCAGAAGAACATAAACACTGAAGTGTTTTTTTTTGTTTTTCAATGTGAGTAAATTTCAGATCAGTTCTTTAAGATAAGCTGTAATTGTAGTGTTAGAATACTATTTGGATATGATCTGTCATGGTGAGCATTATCTCTAATAATTTTGATGTATTTGTGAAATACTGTATTATAAATATATTTAACTAGACATTTTCTTAAGTGAACTGAAAACAGAAATGTTTCAGCCAAATTTCTGTGGTTCGTAAAATACAAAGGCAACCTGCTGGAGAAGAAAGAAAGAGGCCTGCAGTGTCATATATTTATACCTTGTTTTGAATCCCCAGATTCTTCATGTTCAAACCACATGAGACTTATGGGAATTTAATTAATACTTCCTAAGTTTCAGATTCTTCCTTAGAATAATGAAAAAATATAATGCACTCCTCACATTTTATTGTGACGCTTAAAGGGGCCCATTTAAGCGTCACAATTAAAAAGGTAGGTGAACTTCCTTTCAGTGTTTCACATCTAGCACACAAACAACCTTTATTATTAGTGCTTTGCAACACTACTCTCACCTCTCGCTCCTCTGAACTGCAATTCAACCTCACAAATATTACCCACCCACTTGCCCACACATATATATATATATATATATATATATGCCCTTGCAACTTTCTTTGCCTAATAGCTAGAAAGTTTTAGTTATTATTTTGTGCTAGATTGAAACATTTTAGTCCATCATAAAAAATATTTTGGAAGCAAGATGTAATTACCCAAGCTGCCCTTTGGGCTAGTGAAGCTGAAAGAACAGCTCTGAACCACCATATGGGCTGCGCATGGTGAGGCCTATTGGAACCAAGCATTTAAATCCATTTCTTCCTGAGAACAATTAGATGAAACCATCCAATTCTTCCAGGAGCTTTGAAAATGATCACCTGTTGGACCCAGACTCTGGGTAAATTGCTTTCATTTGAATACAATTTGGAATTTGTTCAACTAATCATAATCTGTTAATTGCATTTTGGAGGAAGAAAGAAATTGAATGAAGCAACTGGTTCTTGTTAGATCTGAGCCAGCTCTGGGATTCAGCATGTGGCTACAGCATTCTACCTTGTTAATCTCAATAAAAGGCGGACTTTGCAAGCTGTAATAATTAAATCGCCCTTTACAAAACAAAATAAATTCTGCATGGGAACATGTTATGCTACACTGTTTCTGATTTTATATATATATATGTTTAATATCCTTATTTACATTAGTCATCTTCATTATCTAAAAATTCCAGCTACCAATAATCTTGATTATTCAGGATTATTGAATAACTATTCATGGTGTTTCTTTAAAATCAAACTTTATTTTTTTAGAACAGTGTTAGGTTCTTCATAGCAAAATTTACTAGAAAGTATAGTTTTCTCACATACCAAATGCACCCACATGCCTAATGATTTTTTACCTTGGCAAAAAGGGGGATATTGAATATAAAGACAACACTATGTTCCATAGTTCTCCTTATAAAAATTTTCTGTAGTCTAAGCAGTAGAAAGAGCATGATTTTCTAATTATATCAAACATAGTTTGTATACTAGTTGTTCCAGCTTTCCTTTTGGTTTGTTCATTTTTGGTTTTGTTTCGTTTTTGTTTTGCTTTGTTCTTTAGAGACAGGGTCTTGCTTTGTTGTCCAATCTGGTCTTGAACTCCTGGCTCCAAGTGATCTTCCCATCTTGGTCTCTCAAAGTGCTGAGATGACAGGCATGAGCCACCACACCCAGCACCAACTTTCTTATTGAGTGAAAATATTCTACTTCTCTAAGCCTCAACTTAAAATGACCAATTCTTTTTTAAGAGTTATCATGACAGAAAATTAGCAAACTTCACATATCACATTTAGCATAGTAGTGTTTATGCCACAGGGGGAAGCAGTAATGCAGTGTTACCAGGCAAAATAGTAGTTTCGAGTGGGGATCAGGGGCGTAAGAACTGAGAAAAGAGCTATTGGATGGCACACTTATTACCTGGGTGATGGAATCAATCATAACCTGAATCTCAGTATCATGTAACATAACCGTATACAAATCTGCACATGCATCCCTGTTGAAATTAAAACAAACAAACAAACAAAACAGCAGAAGTAGTAAAAGTATAGTTATATCACTTTACTATTTGGGTGAATAAAATCCCATCCTAAGTCTACTTTTCTTCTTGTTTGTATGATCAGTATTGATTAATCTATTATCTACCACTTTTGACCTTTCTCTAAATAGTGATTTTATTCAGTACCTATGATTTGTGTAGAAAGTAAAAATGATCATTACCCTCAAGCAGATTATAATGCACTTTAGGTAATGGACCAGAAGAATGGAATTACTCCATATTTCTTGCTTTGTTCTCATAATTATGAGTGTAAAACTGAATGACTATAGAAAACTCGTAAGGTACAATGTCAAGAAGACAACACTTTGGGAGGCCGAGGCGGGTGGATCACGAGGTCAAGAGATCGAGACCATCCTGGTCAACATGGTGAAACCCCGTCTCTACTAAAAATACAAAAAATTAGCTGG